ACCGCGGGGAATTTGCGAGAAGGATGGGCGATTTGGCGAAAGTGACGTGCGATGAGTGACCTGACCATTTTGCCCCGCTGGCCGGTTGGGTGACGCTCGCGCAGGTGCCTGACGCGGTCTTTGCCGAAAAGATGCTGGGTGACGGAATTGCCATCGACCCCGTCAACGACGCCCTGTGCGCGCCCTGCGACGCGACCGTGCTGACCGTGCATGAAGCAGGGCATGCGGTGACGCTGCGCAGCACCGCTGGCTTCGAACTCATCTGCCATATCGGCATCGACACTGTGTCGCTGGGCGGCAGGGGCTGACGCCGCAGGTCGAGGCCGGCGCCAAGGTGCTGGCCGGCCAGCCGCTGATCCGCTTCGACCTCGATTATCTGGTCCAGAACGCGCCCGCCGTGGTCGCCGATCATCGTCGCCGACGCCACCCTTTATGGTGTCGAACCGATCGCATCGGGTGTGGTCGCCATCGGCGATCCGCTGTTGCGCGTCTGCCGCTGGCGGCGGAGGCAGGCGAGGCGCAGGCATCGGGCGAGACGTTGGTCGAAGAGACGGTCGTCGCGCTGTCGCACGGTCTCCATGCCGTCCTGCCGCCTGACTGGTCGAGGCGGTGCGGCGGCATGAGGCGCAGGTCACGCTGTACCATGGCGATCGCCATGCGTCGGCGCTTCAGCGCGGTCGGTCTGCTGGGGCTGGGGCTGGGCCACGGCGCCACTGTGCGGATCGAGGCGAACGGGCCTCAGGCCGCCGCCGCACTGGCCGAGGTCATCGCCTTTCTGAATGATGCGACCGTCGAGGAAGGCCCGCGCGAAGCGCAGGCCGACGCGCGGCGAAGGCCGGGCCCGGGCGGCGTGCCTGCTGCCCCCCGGTCTGGCGGTGGGGGCCAATCCACCGGCTGACCCGTGCGGCCATCCCCGTCGAGACGGTCGCCGGCAGCCCCGAGACGGAGCGGCAGAAGCTGACCGATGCCCTGACCTGCATGTCCGCGAGGCGTTGTCCCGCCGCCGCCGCCGGTGGTGCGCGGGGCGGCGTAATGCCGCGCATGGCGCGATGCTGGCCGACCCCACCCTGTCCGAGGCCGCCATAGCGGGGCGTCGGCCGGGGGCTGAGCGCGGTGTGGCGTGGCAGGAAGCCATTGCCGAGCAGGTCGCGGTGTTGATGTCGAGCGGCGACCGTCGTATCGCCGAGCGGGCCGATGATCTTCGCGACACGGAACGCCATGTCCTCGCCGCGCTCGCTGGTCTGCCGATCGAGGGGCCGAGCGTTCCGGCCGGGGCGGTCCCGTCGCCGAGGACCTGCTGCCCAGCGAGGTCGCCGCGCTCGATGCCGGCGTCGTGGCGGGCATCGCGCTGGTCAAGGGCGGGCCGACTTCGCATGCCGCGATCCCGGCGGCCGGCATGGGTCTGCCCATGGCGGTGGCGTTCGGCGATCTGCTGGCGGCGCTGGAAGACGGGCGCACCATCATTCTCGATGCCGATCGCGGGCTGATCGATCCCGAACCCGATGCCGCTGCGCAAGTCCGTGCGCGTGAGACCATCGCCCGCCGCAAGGCCGAGATGGAGGCCGCGCGCGCGGCACAGGGCCCCTGTCGCACGGCGGATGGCACCTGGATCGAAATGTTCGCCAATCTCGGCTCGGTCGCCGATGCCGAAGCGGCGGTGGCCGAAGGCGCGGAAGGCTGTGGCCTGCTGCGCACCGAATTCCTGTTCCCGAACGCGCGACCGCGCCGACCCGTGACGAACAGGCGCGCGACTATCAGGCGATTGCGGATGCGCTGGGCGATCGGCCGATGATCATCCGCCTGCTCGATGTCGGCGGCGACAAGCCCGCGCCCTATATGGACCTGCCCGTCGAGGAGAATCCGGCGCTGGGTCTGGTGGCATCCGCGTATCGCTCGCCGATCCGCAATTGCTGGAGGATCAGATCGGTGCGATCGGCGGTGCGTCAGCCCTGCCGGATCATGGCGCCTGGTCGCCAGCCTGTCCGAACTCGAGGCGGTGCGTGCCGTCGTCGAACGCCGTGGCGGCTACCTTGGTCATCGGGCAGAAGTCGGCGTGATGATCGAGACCCCTGGCGGCCGCGATTTTTCCGCCGATATCCTTGCACGGAAGGCGGATTTCTTCTCGATCGGGGACCAACGACCTGACCCAGTATACCCTCGCCATGGATCGCGGCAATGCGGCGGTGGCGGCGGGGGTCGACGGGCTGCATCCGGCGGTGCTGCGCCTGATCGGGACGACCTGCGACGGCGCGGCCAAGCATGATACGCCGGTCGGCGTGTGCGGATCGCTCGCGGCGGATCGGCTGGCGGTGCCGATCCTGCTCGGCCCGGGCGTCACTGAATTGTCGGTGCCCCGGCGCGGGTTGGTGGCGATTGGGCGCTGGTCGGTAGCTCGACCTCGCACGCTGCCGGACGGTGGCGGGCGAGGCGATGGAGCTTCCTCGGCGGCGGCGGTGCGCGCGCATATTACCCAGATGCTTCAGGAGATCGGCGCATGAGCTCGCCCATGGCTCCGCCACAATCGCTCGGGCGGGCGCTGATGCTGCCCATCGCGGTCCTGCCGGTGGCGGGTCTGCTGCTGCGCTCGGCCAGCCGGACATGCTGAACATCGCCTTCATGGCGAATGCGGGCAACGCGATCTTCGACAATCTGGGCCTCTTGTTCGCGGTCGGCGTCGCCACCGCTCGCCCGCGACGGCAATGGTGGCGGCATTGGCAGGGATCGCCTGCTATCTCGTCACCACTGAGGGGCGGAGACATTGGCCGTGCCGCCGGCCGGTATCGGGCAGGGCTGGCTGGCGACGTCGCCGCGATTTTGGATGCCGCCCGGCGGACCAAGGCAGTGCACCGTTTCGACGTGCCGGTCGGCATCGTCGCCGGTTTGATCGGCAGCTTTGCCAACCGCTTCGCCACGATCAAGATGCCGGAATATCTGGCCTTTTTCGGTGGTCGCCGGTTCGTGCCGATCATCTCGGCATCGCCGGTTGGGGCTGGCGGCGCTGCTGGGCGCGGCGTTCGGGCCGGTCAATGGGATCGATGGCTTGAGCAAAGGCATCGTCCGGGCGGGCGGCTGGGGCTGTTCGCCTTTGGCGCTGAACTGGCTGCTGATCGTCACCGGCCTGCATCACATCCTGAACACCGTCGCCTATTTCGTGGTCGGCGATTATCACGGCAAGACCGGCGACCTGGACCCGGTTCTTCGCCGGCGACCTGACGGCGGGCGCGTTCATGAGCGGTTTTTCTTCCCGGTCATGATGTTCGGCCTGCCTGCCGCGTGTCTGGCCATGTATCATGAGGCGCTGCCCGAGCGGAAGAAAGCCGTCGGGGCATGCTGTTCAGTCTGGCGCTGATGTCGTTCCTGACCGGCGTGACCGAGCCGATCGAGTTCAGCTTCATGTTCCGGCGCGGTCCTCTACGCCTTCCACGCGATCCTGACGGGCCTGTCGGAAGCGCTGATGAACGCTCGGCATCCGGCTGGGCTATACCACCTTCTCGGCAGGTCTGTTCGACTATGTCATCAATTTCGGCAAGGCGACCAAGCCGCTGCTGCTGATCCCGATCGGCGCACTCTATGCGCTGCTCTATTACGCGGTCTTCCGTTTCGCGATCCGCCGTTGGAATCTCCAGACGCCGGGCCGCGAGGCTGAGCCTACGGGCGAGAGACGTCGCCGAAGGCGAAGCAGTCGGCGATCGAGGGTGGGCGCGGTGCCTCCTTCGTCGTGGCGATGGGCGGTGGCGCCAATCTGGCCGAGGTGGCGGCGTGCACCACGCGTCTGCGCCTGATCGTCAAGAACCCCGCCATTGTCGACGAGCCGCGCTCAACGTGGCTGGGCGCTCGCGGCATCCTGCGGCCGTCGCCGACGGGCGTGCGGGTGGTGCTGGGCCCCGTGGCCGATACCGTGGCGATGGAAATGCGCGCCGCGATCGAGGCAGGTCTCGGTCAGCGTATCGCATCAAAGCGGTGCCGACTGCACCTGCGTCACTGTCGGGCGCAGAAGCCGCGGTGCAGCCTCCCGCCACCCTGCCGGACAGCATGCTGGCCATGTTGGCGGGGGCCGACAATGTCCGATCGGCACAGCCCTATGCCTGGCGCTGGCGCGTGGAACTGCGCGATACCGGCTGGGTCGCAACGGACGCTGGCGGCACCGGGCGTTCGGATTGTTGCGGCGACCGGGGGTGACATTGTTCACATTCTGACCGGATGGGGTCAATTTATTAATATAAATCAACTTGATGATGTTTGGCAGTAGATGTAGTCGGATCAAGAATCGCGCCCGAGCGATTCAGTGTGGGTATTGGCCTGCGCTAGGACGGAGGGTTTGCTTGATCACTGGATCGACGGATGATGTCTCCGGAAGACAAAGGCTCTACCGCGCACCTGCGCTGGAGAAGGGCTGGACATCCTAGAACTCCTGTCCGCGCAGGAAAGGCCCCTGACGATGAGTGCCATCGTCACTGGCCCGGGCCGTTCGACCGGTGAGCTGTTCCGGATGATCCAGTCCTCGGAGTGGTCGCGGCTATGTGCGCTGGCTCTGATGGCTATGTGATCACCGAACGGCTGTTCCATCTGGGACTGAAGCGGCTGCCGGTGCGCAGCCTGATGGAACTGGCCTTGCCGGAGATGCGGGCAGCCCGGCCGATCGGATTAGCCAGTCCTGTTATGCGGCAATCCCATCGGGCGCAAGTCGTCGTCGGTCGTCGCGCGGATGGAGGCCAGCACGACGATCGGTTTTTCCGTTCGGGTCGGCTACCGGCAGCCGCTCAACGAGGCGCCCTCAGGGGCAGGTCCTCTATGCCTTCCAGACGGACGATGTCCGGCGGGAATGGGAGGCGATGTTCGATCCGCCGTTGACCGATGATCCTGTGCCGCCTTGGTGGCCTGTGCGGATGTGATCCGGGCGCAGGCTATGCGCACGGACAGCCGCGAGATGACGGGCTTTGGTCGAACTGGCGGCCCTGATCTTGCGGGGTGAGCGGCATGCGCCGTGCTGACCGTTCCGTTCATCCGCCTGACCCATGCGGTGGTGGACGAGCAGGAGGCGCTGAACCAGCTCGGCGCCGCGGCCGAGCGGATCGGCAATCAGCTATCCGGGAACGACGTCGGCATCTGAGATGCCGCCGCACCTGATGACCGGAAGCCCTTCCCCGCTCGCTTGCCTGATTGACGGCCCTGACGATACAGCCCGGCCGATTGAACAAATCGGATCGGTGCGGGCTTTATCGCCCACATACGGAGTGCCGGCCTTGGGGGCCGGATGCGTACAGGGAATCGGGTGCTGCTGAAATATTATTATAGGGATCGTTCCTTTTACCGGCATCTGCGGCGATCGCGGCGTGGTTGGGTTTTCCAGGAGCACGGGTATTTTGCCCGGCACGCTGAGCGTGCTGTGGATCGTTGCGGTGCTGGGCGTTCTGGAAGTGTCGCTGTCCTTCGACAATGCGGTGGTCAACGCCACCGTGCTGCGGGGACATGGACGACAAATGGCGTCGTCGCTTTCTGACACGGGGCATCCCTGATCGCGGTGTTCGGGATGCGGATCGTCTTTCCTCGCTCGCGATCGTCGCGATCGCCGCGCATATGGGGCCCGATCGAGGCGTCAAATCGCCGCCGGTGACCCTGTCCGCTATGAACAGATCATCACCTCCGCCCATGTCGGCATTTCGGGCTTTGGTGGCAGTTTCCACGGGGCGATGGTCGGCCTCAACTCTTCCTCGGCGAGGGAGAAGGACGAGCATTGGCTGGGGGTGATCGAGCGTCCGCTGGCGGCGCTGCGTGAGATTTCGGGTCTGGCGACCGGCATCGTCCTGCTCGCCCTTTACACCATTTTCAGTTCATTCCGGTCGAGGAGGCGATGACCTTCCTGACCGCCGGCATTTTCGGGCTGTTGACCTATATCGCGGTCCATGCGGTCGGCGTCCTGCTCGAGGGGATGGCGACGCGGCGACGGGTGCGGCGGCCCGGTCGGGTTTCGCGGCCTTCCTGTATCTCGAAGTGCTCGATGCCAGCTTCTCGTTCGACGGGGTGATTGGCGCCTTTGCGCTGTCGAACAATCTTCTTCATCATCGCGCTGGGCCCGGCATTGGCGCGATGTTCGTCCGTTCGATGACGATCATGCTGGTCGATAAGGCACGCTGACCCAATATCGCTACCTCGAGCATGGCGCCTTCTATGCCATATTGGCGTTGGCTGCGATCATGCTGCTGTCGGTGCGGTTGAGATTCCGGAGACCGTCACCGGGCTGATCGGTACCCACGCTGATCGGCCTGTCCTTCTGGGCATCGGTGCGCAGCAATCGCAAACATCGAAGAGTCGCTGGCGAGCGCCGACCCCGTTCGCGCGACGGGCAAGTCGGTTAACTCCTGATCCGGAACCCTTGCCGCCAGAAACGATTACCCATGTCGTAACGCTGGCGAAAAGGAATACCATGCCGATATCGGCGATCGATACCCGGAGGGTAAAGGGTTCGTTTCAATCCGCTCAGGCACACGCATCTGTTCCTCAAGGGGCGTGGACGTGACGCGATGACGCCTGACGACATGGCGGTGCTGGAGGACAGCGTCGCCGATGTCATCGCCTTGCCCGCCCGCAAGATCGTGATCCGGCGCGAGAACGGGTGCGGTATAGCAGCCTACTGCTGGAAGGCGTGATGTGTCGGTACGGACGATCCGCCATGCGGCAATCGGCAGATCGTGGCCTTCCATGTCCCCGGTGATTCGTCGACCTGCACGGCTTTGCTATGCGCTATCCTGGACCATGATGTCGCCACGCTGACGCCGGTGCGCGTCGCGACGGTGGGGCATGACCGGCTGGGCGATCGTCCAGCATCGCCCGCGCCTGACCCGGTTGTTGTGGTTTCGACCCTACTCGACGCGGCGATGCACCGCGAATGGGTGTTCCGGCTGGGGCGGCTGGAGGCCGATGGCGTGTCGCGCATCTGTTCTGCGAACTGCATGAGCGCTCGCCATGGTGGATATGGTCCCGCGATGGCGCCTTTTCGCTTTCCCGTCACCCAGATCGATCTCGCGGAGGCAGGGATCACGCCCGTTCATCTCAATCGCGTACTGCGCTCGTTGCGCGAACGGGGCTTGATGACCTTTCGCATGGGGATGTGCACATCCTCGATCCCGATGCGCTTCGGACACTGGCCGATTTCGATCCGCTATTTGTTCGGTGGTGGTCCGACCATGGAACGAGAAGATTGCATGAGCACCGCCTTCAACCCCGTGGGCCCGTCCATGGTGATGCGGGGGTCGCGACGGCCGAGCAGGGGATCGTCGCGCTCGACGGCCCCAATGGCGTGGCGGTGGCGATGACGCCATATGCTGCGCAGGCAACCGGCGGTCCTTGATGATCGCGGCGGCGCGGATGGCCGAGGCGCAGTTGCGCGATGGGTCCTGATGAGCGCTTGGTAAGACAGGAGACTTTACCCGTTTGTCCCGCGGCTTATGATGACGCCTGTTTCATGAACGGAGTTACTCTTGCGTCATCTCTACCTTTTGCCGCCATTTTGCGGCGCTTCTGAGCAGTTCCGTGCTGGCCGGTCCGCCCCTGCTGCCCAGTGCCCGCCACCAACCTGCTCGCGCCCTCGACTGGCTATGGCGGGGTGCCCCTTTGGGACAAGGTGAAGCGGAACCTTCCCGGCGGCCTTCGAAGCGGCGCGGCCGAGCGCAAGCAGGACTATGACCGGATCGCCAATAATCCGGCCAAGCCGACCTTCGCCAATACTCGTGCCGATGCAGAATGCCGGGCAGACGCTGAACCGCGTGATGACGCTGTTCGGGGTGATGACGGGCAATATGAATACGCCCGCCTATCAGGCGCTGGACCGTGAATGGTCGCCCAAGCTTTCCAGGCGTCGGACGAGATCATTTTCAACCCCAAGTTGTTCGCTCGGATCGAGGCGATCTAAGGCACGCGACACGAGCGGGCTGGATGCGCAGCAGAAGCGGCTGGTCACGCGCACCTATGACAGCTTCGTGCGGCAGGGGTGCCAAGCCGACGCCCGCGCAGAAGGAGGAGCTGTCCGCTTCAACCAGTAATCTCGCCATCAACTTCAGCGGGTTTTCGCAGCGGCTGCTGGCGGACGAAGGCACCGCGATCATCGTTACCGACGAGGCGGCGCCTTGTGGTCTGCCTGACAGCGTGAAGGCGGTGGCCAAGGTGGCCGCCGCGGGCGTGGGCAGCAGGGCTGGGCGATCGTCAACACGCGGTCTGCGGTCGATCCGGTGTTGACCTTGCCACCGACCGGCACTGCGCGAGCAGGTGGCGCGCCTTCACCAAGCGCGGCGACAATGGCGATGTGAATAACACCAAGGCGACGATCGCTCGTATCGTCCGCCTGCGCGCAACCGCGCGCATCTGCTGGGCTTCAAGACCTATGCCGACTGGCGGATGCAGGACACGATGGCCAAGAGACCGCCGCCGCCATGGACCTGATGATGCGCGTTTGGCCCGGCCGCCAAGGGCGCGCGTCGCCGAGGAGGTCCGCGACATGCAGGCCATTGCGGATAAGGAAGGAGCGAAGATCACGATCGAGCCCCGGGACTATCTTCTATCAGGAGAAGGTCCGCAAGAGCCGCCACGACCCTCGATCAGGCCGAGTTGACCCTATTTCGAACTGAATAACATCATCCGTGGTTCGCTCTATGCCGCGAACCGGCTCTATGGGCTCGAGTTCAAGGAAATCACCGGTACGGTCCCGGTGTTCGAGCCGAACATGCGCGTCTGGCACGTCACCCGGAACGGCAAGGAAGTCGGCCTGTTCTACCGCGACGATTTCCGCGCGGACGGGCAAGCGTTCGGGCGCGTGGGCCAACACCTATCGCGGCCAGCGCAACCTGCCGCCGGTGCAGAATGTCCCTGTCGTCGAACAACAACAACTTCGCCAAGGGCGCGAAGGGCGAACCGGTGCTGATGTTTTGGACGATGCCGAGACGCTGTTCCACGAATTTGGCCACGCCATCCACGCGATGCTCAGAACGTCACCCTATCCGGGGCTGGCGGGCACGCCGCGCGACTTTGTGGAATATCAGCCAGTGAACGAGCATTGCTGCTGACCCGCGACGCGCTCGACAAGTACGCGCGCCACTACAAGACCGGCCAAGATGCGCCGCAGGCGCTGCTCGATAAGATCAAGGCGTCGGAGACCTTCAACCCGTGGCTTCGCGACGACCGAATATCTGTCCTCGGCGATCGTCGACATGAAGCTGCACACCATCCCGGACGGGATCGTCGACCTGGCGGCGTTCGGAGGCGACGACCCTGCGAGATCAGGGATGCCGAAGGGTGGTGATGCGGCACCGCCTGCCGCAGTTCAATCACCTCTTCTCGTCGGACAGCTATTCGGCGGGCTATTACAGCTATCTCTGGTCGGGGACGATGGACGCCGACCCCCTTCGCCGCGTTCGAGGAAGCGGGGAGCCCGTGGGACAAAGGCGACGGCGGACGCCGCGCGTATCCTGCTGTCGACGGGGAATGAAACGGACCGCGCGGAAGCGTATCGCGCTTTGGGGCGCGATCCGGACGTGAACGCGCTGCTCAAGCAGCGGGGCTTCCTGACGAAGTAATTCAAAGTCCTCCCTTGTAGGGGAGGTGGCAGGGCGAAGCCTGACGGAGGGGTGTCCGGTCGGCGAGGTGAACCAACCTCGCCACCGGCGATACCCTCCACCATGCTACGCATAGTCCCCTCCCTATGGGGAGGAACAGGTTTTACAGCGCCTTCAACCGGATCGCACGGCCGCCGCCGGGCGAGCGACAGGGTCAGTGTCGCCCTTCATTCCAGCTTGGTCTCGAACGCGATCGAGTGCCGCGCTTCGGTCGCATAGGTCGCGCCAGGGGCCGTCCTTGTAAGGCCTGCGCCTCGTACGTCTTGCCCGGATCGAAGTCGAGCGTCACCGTCAGGTCGCGCGATTCTCGTCGGTGATCGAGCCGATATACCAGTCGCGGCTTTTCCGATCCCGCCGTGCGAAGGTGACGTAATCCCAACCTCGCCGTTCAGGACGCGGCTATCTTCCCAATCGACCGGCACGTCCGCGATGAAGCGGAACGCCTGCGGGTATTTGGCGTATTCTCCGGCGTATCGGCCGCCATCTGCACCGGGAATAGAGCACCACGTACAGCGCCAGCTGTTTGGCGATGGTCGACTGGATCGGGCTGTTGTCGCTCCCCCCGTCAGGCTCAGCACGCGGCGTAGTCCATCGGCCCCAGGCATTCAGGTGAAGGCGAGTTGACCTCATGCTCAGGCTGGTTCTTGCCAGGCCAGTTATATTCCATGCCCCGCGAGCCCTCACGCGCCAGCCAGTTGGAAACAGGATAGGTGCGGCGCAGGCCGGTGTCCTGACCGGCTCATGGCTGTCGATCGACACCTTGGGTTCGCGGTGGCCTCAGCACGCGCAGATGGTGGTTCACCATCCACTGGCCCTCATGCCACTCGCGCGACACCGTGCCGTCCGCGTTCGCCCGCTCGATCTGCCCGGCATCGGCGACAGCCGGTCTGACGATGTCGCCACTGATCGGCGGCGGAAGGTGAAGGCGAGGTCGAACTCACCTCGCAATGGCTGACCGCGCCGCCGGTCTCGTGATGGCCGATCAGCGACGCCCTGGACTTGGCATATTTCGCCAGATAATCCCATCGAAATCCTCGGTCGGGGTCGCGAACTGCATCGCTGAACCGTTGCCGCCCAGTCGCCGTCCCAGCCGATATTCCATCCTTCGACCAGCACGCCGGGGATGCCGTATTTGGACGCGAAGTCGATGGAATCTTCACATTCGCCGTCGTCGCGCCGTGCCGGGCCGCGCCCAGCTCCATTCGCCCTTGATCATCTTCCACCAAACGCCGACGAACTTGCCGGGCTTTACCGGGATACGTCGCCCAGCTTGTTGGGCTCGTTCAGGTTGAGCATCAGATGGCTCATATAGAGCCCGCCCGCATCGGGTGCGATCAGGAAGGTCCGCCACGGCGTCGTCCACGCCCCGTCTTCACCACCTTTGGCGCGCCTGAGCCGGGGGTCAGGGACTGCCTTGAAGTTGTTCCTTCGGTCTTCATCAGCGCCATGCCGGCATAGTCGACCAAGGCCGCCTCGCGGATGGCGATATGGGTGCCGTCGTCCAGCTTCATGGTGATCGGCGTCGCCGCCGTGCCGACCGCGGTGATCGGCGTGCGGTTGTAAAGATATTCCTCGCGATTCCACAGGAAGGCGGGCTTCCACCATGCGGTGCCGTTCTGAGCGATGTTGAACTCGGTCAGCTCCTCGGCGATATTCGCCTTGGGCAAAGCCTGCTGCTCAGGAAATTCGTAGCGGAAGCCGACGCCGTCATCCTGCACCCGGAACACCACGTCATAGCGGCGATGGGCGCGCTCGACTTTCCATCAGGCGGACGCGCATCTCGCGGTGATTGTCGCGGATGGTGCGCCACTCGCCCGGGGCTGGGTCCAGCTCGTGTCCGACTTGGCATGACACCGGACTCGATCTTCAGCCCCGCTCGATCTTGGGCGCGTCGGTGAACATCATGCCCAGTCGCGAGGGCGCGACGATCGCCTTACCGTTGCGGGCGATCATAGACCGCGCGGCCGTCATTGTCGGTCGACACCTGCACCGTAATCGTGCCGTCGGGCGAGGTTTCAATGGCGTCGGGCTGTCGGCGGGCTTGGCGAATTTGAACGTCTCGTTGACCGCCGGATCGGCAGGGCCATTCTGGGCCTGCGCCGCTCCGGGCGATCAGGCTCGCCCTGGGGCAATCGTCGTCTTCATGCAGTCATCTCGGATCGCCGCCCTGAACGCGTCCGAGGCGTTCGTCGGTGGCGCTATTGATTTGGACCAGCGTTCGGCCGCCGCGTGGCACGGCGGGGGAAGCTGGACGGGCATCGCCCAGATTGAACAGGCAGAGCAGGCGTTGCGCCCCTCGCGCCGTTCGAAGGCAAGTAGCTGGTCGTCGGCATGGAGCAGCGTCAGATCGCCGACCGCCAGCGCGGGCGTCTCGAGCCCCTCAGGCGCACCAGACGGCGCGTCAGGTTGAGAAGCGAGTCCGGATCGCCATCCTGCCGATTGACCGCCAGCGCGGCATGGTTATCCGACAAACCGGAAGCCGGTTCGGCATCCGAGAAGCCGCCGTTGATGGCATTGCTGCTCCACGGCATCGGTGTGCGCACCCCGTCGCGCGACAAGGTCAGCAGCCAGTTGGCGATGGCTGGGATCGACCAGCCGGTCGAACGGGACATCGACACCGGGTCAGCCCCAGATTTCCTCGCCTTGGTAGATGGGGAAGGCATTGCCGCGAAGGGATAGCAGCAGCAGCATCTTCATCCGGCGCGAACGCGTCGCGATGCTCTGGCGTGGTCCAGCGCGATACGGCGCGCGGCGCGTCGCGGTTCTCGAAGGCCCAACTCGGCCAGCCGACACCCGGCTCGGCGGGCCATTTCGCCACCGCTCGGCGACAATGCGCGGGGTCAGCCGGTCGGCGTGGAAAATCGAAGCCGTAAGCGGTGTTCGGGCCGGTGGTCGCTGGCGGTGAACAGCTTCATCTGCGATCCGCCTCGTCGCCGCCGACCTCGGCCACGGTGAAGCGGTCGCCATACTTGTCCAGCGTCGCGGATCCGCTCTGGGGCACGATGTCGGCATGGCTCTGATTTGTAGCTTCAGTTGGAAATCGAACGGCCGAGTGCGCGTCTTGCGCCCGTATCGGGGGCAGGCGGGTTATCGCGCATCGTCGGCTCGTGCATCATGAAGTTGATCGCATCGGGCCGGAATCCACGCCCCGGTCGAGGCCAGAAGCGCGCCGTCGCCAGCAATTCGGCCTGCACGTCCGGGTGGTGGACGTGCAGCGTGGCTGCTCCTTCAGGAAATTGTGCAGGTGTACCCCGCGCCGCGCGTCCGAGTCGAGGCGGGGCCGCCGAACACCGACTGCCAGTTGGACGGTGGCGAGCCATCGGCTGGCATTGGCCCAGACGCCCAGTCGGCGTGGGCATTGGTGCGGCTGGGCGGCTTTCGGTGAACCAGGATGCTCGTCGAGGTGTGGCTGTACACCGGTCGATGACGACCTTCAGCCCCAATTCGCGCGCGCGCGACCAGCGTCGAAATCGTGAAGCGTGCCGAAGATCGGATCGACATCACGGTAATCCGCCGTCATAGCCGGAAATCCTTCATCGGCGAGGTGAAGAAGGGCGACAGCCAGATCGCATCCACGCCTGTGCTGGCGACATGATCCAGCCGCGCGGTGATGCCGGGCAGGTCGCCGATGCCGTCGCCATTGCTGTCGGCAAAGCTGCGCGGGTAGATCTGATAGATCACCGCCCCTTCCACCAAGGACGGGGGCATGCGGGCAGTATCGGTCATCAACGGCTCTCCGCCGCGCAGACGGCATAGCTGAAGCAGGCAATTCCAACATCAGGCTGCCCGGCGCGGCGGCGCTCGGGGCACAGCGATCCGGCCATGGTCGTGAAACGTTGCGATGCCGTTTCAGCCTGCACCGCCTGCGTGATTGGCTTGGCTGAGGTGTTGAAGGCGATCAGATATTCGCGCCCCCGTGGCGGGGCCGAAACGCGAGACGGCGAACAGGCCCGGCGCATCGCCCGCGCGCGCGGATTATCTGTCGCCCTCGGGTCAGCGCCGGATTGGCGACACGCAGGCGGGCGAGGCTGGCGATCTCGCGGTAGAGCGGGTGGCTGGTCACGAAGCTGTCGGTCGCAGTCGTCTTCCTCGTGCTGACGAGCGTGTTGTCGTTATAGCTGGCGACCTTGCTGGCGAACATGTCTTCGCGCGCATCCTGATCATTGCCGTCGCCTGCGAAACCTTGCTCGTCACCCGAATAGATGGTCGGCACGCCGCGCAGGGTCAGCAGCATGGCGTGACCCAGTTCGACGCGCTTCAGGATTTCCTCGTCCGATGCGTTCGGATTCGCGGCCCGCACGTCACGCGAAGCGGCCGCGGTCGTGATTGCCGAGGAAGGTCGGCAGGATGTCCGCGGTCGCCTCGCCCTTGGCGTAAGGACATCGCCCTCGAACAGGCTGGCCAGCGTGCGGGTCGGCTTGTTCTCCGCGACCGTCTGGATCACCGCGTTCATGAAGGCGAAGTCGAGGACGGCCGGATAGTCATGACCTTGGTCCAGCGGGGCGAGATAGCGGGGTCCATCCCGCCGTCACTTCGCCAAAAAGATATGGAAGTTCGAAATGCCTTGGCCTTGGCGCGTTCCAGCATGGCGGGGACAAAGCTGCGCCAGAATTCCGGGTTCATATGCTTGGCGGTGTCGATGCGGCGCCGTCGATGCCGAACCGGTCGATCCAGCTGCCATAGATATCGATCATCCCGGCGATTACGCGCGGGTTTCGGTGCAGAGATCGTCCAACCCCGAGAAATCGCCGGTGGTCGAGCTTTTCATCCTCGAAGGTCGTGTTGCCGCGATTGTGGTAGTAGATCGGGTCGTTGAGCCGTGCCAGGGTCTTGGCGTTCTCCTCGGCCGCCAGGACATAAGGTGTGTAGGCATAATTCGGGTCGGCCAGCTTGGCGAAGTTCGGCGGCCGTCTGAACATCGTCGCCTGCAAAGCCCGGATTGATCGCCTGACCAGTCACCCCGCCGCGCCGCTGATAGGGATAGCTCGCGCGGTCACGATAAGGGCAGGGCGATCCCTCGGCGCATTCGCGATACTGGATCACGTCCGCCGTATGGTTGACGATGATGTCCATATAGACCTTCATCCCCGTCGATGCGCAGCGTCGATGAAGGCATGCAGATCGGCCTCGCTGCCGAGATGCGGGTCGACCGTGGTGAAGTCGGTGATCCAATAGCCGTGATGCCGCTGGGCATCTCTATGGCCCTTGGCACCCTGGACGGGCTTGTTTTTGAAGATTGGCCCCAACCAGATCGCCGTCGCGCCCAGCCCCGGATATAGTCGAGCCGCTTGGTCAGCCCCCTTCAGGTCGCCGCCATGGTAGAAGCCCCTTGTGCGTCGGATCGAAGCCGGTGATCAGCGGGCCGCCCTTTCAGGCCGCCGCGATCATTGGCGGTGTCGCCATTCTCGAACCGGTCGGGCAGGACGAAGCCAGATCACCTCGTCCTGCGGCAGGCGCTGGCGATAATCCTGTGGCGAGCGGGCGGCGGTCGCGAGGAGGGCGAGCAGCAGCTTCTTCATGGGGTAACCCTTTGGGCAGGCGCGGCGCAATGCGCGGCGAGGAAGGCGTCGTGCGTCGGCAGCCGGCTGGCCACCTGTGCGGCGTGACGCATGGGTGAGGCTGAGGAAATCGTCCAGCTCGTCCGCTGACAGCGCGTCGGCGAGGGCGTGATGGCCGGCGGGCAGGATGCCCTGTCCGACCATCACCTGCACCGGGCGGGTTCGGCGAACAATTCGTCGCCCTCGCGGCGGAAACGGCTATTGGCTCGAAACAGCGCGATCCGTGCGGGCGAGGCCCTGGGGGCAAGGCACTGCGCGTCGCTCGGCCCAGAAGGGCTCAGGTCGCGCATTGGCGTGATAGTGAAGGATCAGGGAAGTCGCGGATGGCTAGCCACTCCGCTTGGCCTCGCGGTTATAGGCATCGACCTCGACCGACTGAAGCGTCGTGCCGGGCCAATAGTCCAGCAGTCGCGCGATGCCCGACTGGATCAGGTGGATGCTGGTCGACCTCGAGTGGCTCCGGGGAACCCGGCGGCCAGCCCCAGTGCGACGCAAATTGCCGACCAGGGCTCGCCGCCGTCGCCCGGTGGTGAAGCGCAGGAGGCGCGGCTCGCCATGGCCTCATTCCTGAGCGCGGACAGTAGCCGGGCGGCGGCCTCATCGTCCGACAGATGGCGGCTGTCAAGTAGACCAGCCCGTTGCCGGTGCGATGCTGAAGCGGATGCGCCAGCGCCAACCCCGCGCCATGCGCGATGGCGCGGGTATAAGGGGCAGGGGAGCGGCGCGTCGCCCGCCACCGCCAGCGCGCGGTCGCAGGGGAGGAGTTCGACCAATCGTCGAACGGCTCGGCTGGCGTCTCACCGATCAGCAGCGCGCGGAAGCCGGTGCAGTCGATGAACAGGTCGCCCGAATGGGCTTCGCCGCCTTCCAGCACGACATGGTCGATCCGCCTGCTCGCGTCTCGCGTGACAGAGGCGATCCTTCGATCTCCGCACCACCCCGCCGCCTCGGCATGGCGGCGGAGCAGTGCGGCGTGGCGGCTGGGCATCGAAATGATAGGCCTGTGCGAGGCCCGCTGGGCAGGTCAGGGCGGCGGGATCGGGGCGAAGCGCCCCGCCATTGCGGGCCTGCGCGCTCGCCATGTGGGTCCAGAGCGAGGCGGGATTGGCCGCGCCGCCACCGCGCAACCAATAATGATGGAAGGGTACCAGCCCCAGCGCCCGGCCGATACTGCCGAACGCGTGGAGATAGCCGCTGCCCTCGCCCAACCAGCCCTCAAGCGGATGCCCAGCTTGAAGCTGCCGTTCGTCTCGCGCAAGAACGCGGCTTCATCCAGCCCCAACATCTGGTTGAACAGGCGGATGCCGGGGATCGTCGCTCGCCCACCCCGACCGTGCCGATCGCGTCGGACTCGATCAGGGTGATGCGGGTGCCGACGGGCACGAACCGCGCGCCAATGCCGCCGCCGTCATCCACCTGGCGGTGCTGCCCCGACGATCACCACACGCTGCTGGGCAATATGGCGGGCGATTGGTCTGCGGTGGGGCGGGCGGCCGCGGCGTCTCTTATTCGGGATTCCGGCCGCCGGAGGTTGGGGAAACCGGCGCGGGAAGGGGTATCCAAGCGATAGGTAAATCCGGCGGGGAAGCGGCGGCCATAGCTCTGATAATCGATCACCTGATCGCGCTGCCCGCCATTGGTGGTGACGAACGGCGTATCGGTCAGGTTCTGGCCTTGCAGGAAGAGCGACAGGCCCTTGAACGTGCCCTGCTGGAAGTCATAGCCGATCTGGCCATCGACGATAGTTTCGTCGATCGCGCGGCGACGGACGCGGTTGGCGCCGAAACCCGACAACTCACCCACGAAGGTCGAGCGATACCGCACCGATCCCCGGATGTTCAGGCCCCACTTCTCGAAATAGGCGGTGCCGTTCGCCACCCAGCGCGAATAGCCAGGGAATGTCTCACGGGTCGCCGCCGCGGGGACGGCGTGATCTCGGTCTTGGTGTAGGGACCCGCCGCCCGTCAGGCCGAAGCCGTCGAGGAAGCCGACCAACTGGCCCAGCGGCAACGTGCCCGCCAGCTCGACGCCATAGATCTTGCCGCCCGAACCGTTGATCGGTCGGTTGATCCGTCCCTGCGTCGGCGTGCCGATCGGAACCGCGGCGGGCAGGGGCAGGCCGGCATAGTCAAGGCTGCTCAAGATTGTAAACGAAGCTCTTGAGATCCTTGTAGAAGCCCTGCGCCGCCAGATAGCCGCGCGTGCCGAAATATTTCTCCGCCGTCACGTCGAACGAGTTGGGCGGATCGGGCGGAGGAACGGATTGCCACCGCTGCCCGAGATGATCCCCTGCGCGGCATCGAAGCCATAGGACAGCGCGACGCGCATGTCGTCGAAGCGCGGGCGCATCATCTGGCGCGCCGCCGCGACACGGAACACCCAGTCGCTGGGCAGCCGTAGCGACAGGTTGGCGCTGGGCAAGATATCCCAATAATCATCGCCTGGACGATGTTGGTACAGCTGGTGCCGTTGTAGATCAGGCCGCGACTTCTGCTCGGTCGCGACCGCCCCCGGACGCCGATATTGCCGGTCAGTTCGGCGGTGCCCAGTTGGGCGTTCAGATCGGCCGGACATAGGCCGTCATGAGCCGCTCGGTGGTGGTATAGGCCTGGCGGCACGTCCGCGCTGGTGTTGGGCGTCAGCACAGACCCCCGCCGCCCAGCAGGGCGCGCGGATCATAGCTTACATCGGACCCGAGGCCGAGATAGGTCAGGTCGGTCGGCGTTTGGCGATATTGCTGCGGCACGCGCGGGATCGTGGCGCTGCCCGGCAGGGTGACGAAGGGACTCGTTCGGCGCCAGCGACTTGGCATGATCGGTATAGTTCAGGCCGACGCGGATCGCAGTGGACGATCGGGGTTTCGACCTCACGGTCGATCTCGACCCGGTACTGTTTGATCTCGTCGGTGACGGTGCGATCGTTGAAATAGCCCGCCTGGCGGGTCGAGCCGCCCCAGCCCAGCGGATCGGTCAACTGGATCAGGTTGGGATCGGAATAGTTGAGCGTCGGCTTGAATACGGTACCGTTCCGGCCCCGTGGTGAACCCGATCCGTGTCGGTCGCGCCACGTTTTGGCCATAGCCGGTGCCGCTATAGGTCTCAAGGTGACCTCGTCGCGATCTGTGCGCGAATAGCTGACGTCAGCATCGCGCTCCCAGCCATCGCCATAATCATATTTGCCGTTATAGCCGAACGAATAGAGCTTGGCCTTGCCTGGAACGAGTCGTTGCGGATCACGCCCTCGACATTGTTGAACGTGCCTGAGGTGATGAGGGGCCGTTGCTGACGGTCGGATTGGTCAGCGTCGCCGCTGCCCCTGTGCCAGCGGGCAGCTCGATACCGCGCTTGATCTGGTCGTCGTTGGTCGAATAAAGCCGTCAAGCGTGCTGGTGAAGGTGTCGCTCATTTTCCACTGCAACGTGCCTGAAAGGCCCAACCGCTTCAGCGTGGTAGAGGTGACATAGGATTTGGAGCCGCCGATGACGTTGACCGTCTGCGCCCGACCGTGACCGGCGCATAGGGGCGTACTGGCCCTGGATCTGGTATGGTTCGTTGAGGTAGCTGGCCGACCGGCGCGACGCCGATCGTGTCGTCGGCAAACTGGTCGACATAAGTCGCCGTCGCGCGATAGCCGGAAGTCCTTCGACCCGGCGTTCAGCTTGCCGATATCGGCATGGGTGCCGCGCGCACCGAGAAGACGCGCTTGCCATAGTCCAGCGGACGGATGGTGCGCAGGTCGACCGTGCCTGACAAGCCCTCGCCGATCAGCGCGGCATTGGCGGTCTTGAGATCAGGACCCCTGATTGGCGACTTCGGCGGGATACTGGTCTGTATCTGACGGCGCGGTTATCGCCGGTCGAGGAATCTGTTCGCGGCCGTTGAGCAGCGTCGTCAGGAAGTCGGGGGCGAAACCGCGGATCGAGATGGCGTTGGGCGGCCGTTCACCCGCTGCGACGTCGCCGCCGGGCAGGCGGGCGATCGACTCGGCGATTGAGGCGTCAGGCAGCTTGCCCGATATCCTCGGCCGACACTGATTCCACGACGAGATCGCGGTTCTTCTTCTCGGCGACGGCATTTTCGGAGCGCGGCGCGGAAAGCCGGTGACGACGATATCGCTGGAACTCGTATCACCCGCCGACGTCTGGGCCTGCGTGCCGGCGGCGGCTAAATCATTGGGGGTTGGCGGCGGTGGTGCTGGCGGCGGGGTCGGGCAGGGTGGTCTGAGGCCTGCGCGAACACCGGCGCGGCGATGACCATGGCGAGCGTGCTGACGCCGAGCTTGCGGAACGAGCGCGCGCGGCATCGGCCGGCGCCACAGGGCGAACCGTCATGAAAATCCCTCCGTGAAACCCCGTCTTCTTTCAAGGACGGGTATGGTTGTTGCCCCTCCGTGAAATCGGATGGCGACGAGTGCCAACAAGCCCGCATACGTATTCAATGCGGCTGTTTCGGTCTGTTGCATTATTACGACAGGTGCGCGGGCTGACCCGGATCCGTCATAGGATCGGGCGTACGCACAGGAGGATGCCCGCAGCGTGGTCGGCCAGAGAAAGCCCACATCATTCGATATCGCGCAATTGGCGGGCGTGTCGCAGCCCACGGTTAGCCGTGCGCTTCGGGGGAGCCCCTCTGTCAGCGCCGCGACCCGCGCGGGATACAGGCAATCGTATAAGCCGCTGAACTACACGGTCGACGCGCCGCCTCAATTTGCGCAGCGGCCAGACGCGGACGTTGGCGCTACTGCTGTTTCGCGATCCTTCGCCCGGGCGGACGCTGATCAATCCCTTTTTCTCGGCATGTTGGGCTCGATCATGGAGAGCTGCGCGGAGGTCGGATATGATCTGCTCGTCTCCTTCCAGAATGTCGAGAACGACTGGCAGGCCGATTATGAGGACAGCCACCGCGCCGACGGTGGTTTGATCCTGCCGGGCTATGGCGATTGTACCGATTATCGCGAGCAGCTCGACCAACTGGTCGCGCGCGGTACGCATTTCGTACGCTGGGGATCGGTGGCGCCGGGCCAGCTGGGGCTGATGATTGGATTTGCGACGAAATCATGCCGATGCGCTGGCGGCGACCCGGCACCTGATCGCACAAGGAAGGACGCGCATCGCCTTTCTGGGCGACGCGACCGATCGTATCCCGAATTCCGCGATCGCTATCGCGGCTATTGCGACGCCTTGGCCGAGGAGGGGCTGGCCTGTGATCCGGCGCTGCAGGTCAGCGCCATTTCCAGCGAGGAAGAAGGCGAGCAGGCGGCGCGGGCATTGCTGGCGCGGGAGCTGCCCTTCCCGGCATCATGGCGGCGAGCGACCTGATCGCGCTGGCCGCGATGCGCGCGTACTGGCCGAAGCGGGGCGGCGCGTGCCGACCGATGTCTCGGTCGTCCGGGTTCGACGATATTCCGCCGCCAGCTTCGCCCACACCGCCGCTCAGCACGGTAGTGCAGGATGCAGCAACGGTGGGGGCGTTTGCTGGTCCGCGCGCTGCTGGCGGAGATTGCCGGCAAGCCGCGAACCGCCAATCTGCTACCCGACACTGGTCGTGCGTGGATCGAGCGTTCGACCATAATCAATAAAGAAAACAGACTATTGGGAGAGGTTATGGAGAAGCCGCGTCAGCCTCGCTTGGGGTTATGGAATACCTCTTTCGGCTTTTTCGGCATTCAGATCGGCTTTTGCGTTGCAGAATGCCAATGTCAGCCGGATCTTCAGTCGATAAGGCACGGCCGAAAAAGGATCTCGCCTTTTCTCTGGATCGCCGCGCCGCTGACCGGGCTGCTCGTCCAGCCGGTGATCGGCCATTATAGCGACGGACTGGAGCCGTTTCGGGCGGCGGCGCTATTCTCGCCGGCGCGTTGTTGGCGACACTGGCGCTGGTGGGGATGCCCCAATGCCGGGGGGGCTGATGGTGGCGGCGATGCTGCTCTGGTTGCTCGATGCCTCGCTCAACGTCTCGATGGAGCCGTTCGGCGCCTTTGTCGGCGACATGCTGCCCAGCCGCCAGCGCACGGCCGGCTATGCCTTCCAGACGGCCTTTCTCAGCGCGGGCGCGGTGCTGGGGTCGCTGGCACCGCAGGTGCTGACCGATATCTTCACGTCGCAATGTGGCGCGGCGGGCGGTTCCGCCTCGGTCCGCTATGGCTTTAATATCGGCGCGGCGGCCCCTGTTCGTCGCGGTCCTGTGGACGGTGCTGACCACTCGCGAATATTCGCCCGCGCAGATCGCCGCCTTTGCCGAGCAGGATGAGGCCGGGCAGGGGCGTAGCGATGCCACTCCGTCGACGCGGATCGGCTCTGCGCCGCTGTGGATCGCCGCCGGCGCAGTGATCGTCACGCTGACCGTGGGTGGCTGGGGCTCGACAAGCCGGTCTATCTGTTGGGCGGTGGCTTCTATCGCCTTCGGCCTTGCGCAGATCGTCAGCGCCTTTCTGGTGCGTGGCGGGCGAGGGCAGAATGCGCTGAGCCAGATCTTGGCCGACCTGTCAGCAATGCCGGCGACCATGCGGCGGCTGGCGCTGTCAGTTCTTCACCCGGTCGGCGCTGTTCATCATGTGGATTTACACCACGCCGATCGTCGCCGCGCGGGTGTTCCATACCAGCGGGATGCGTTGAGCGCGGCATTCAACGAGGGGGGCTGGGTCGGCGTGCTGTTCGCGGTCTATAGTGGGGTAGCTACGCTCTGGGCCTTCGCGCTGCCTCTTCGTTGGCGCGGGTCGGGCGGCGCAACACGCATATCTCCGGCCTGCTCTGCGGGGCGGCGGGGGTTCATACTCCTTCGGTCATCACCGATGCGTGGGTGTTGCTGGGCGCGATGGTGCTGGTCGGCATCGTTGGGCCTCGATCCTGACCATGCCCTATACCATCCTGTCGGCGGCGCTACCGTAGCTTGTATTTACATGGGGTTGTTCAACATCTTTATCGTGTTGCCGCAACTGATCTATTGTCGTCGTGATGGGCGCGGTCGTGGGCCGCTTCTTCCCATGATCTAGTCTGGGCGATGGCCATCGCCGCCGGGGCGATGGCGCTGGCGCATTCGCCATGGTGCGGGTGCCGCGCGACGCGTGAGGCGGTTCAGCGGGGCAGGGGTGATGGTCGCAGCCAACCCGCCCTCGCCGGTGGCGAGGCGGATCGCCGCCCGCTTCGCGCACGATCGGCGGGGCCA